ACACGCTAACATTTTGGAGTCACAGGACGGATTCGCTCCGCCAAGGTCTGGGCTCTTGTCTAAAGAAAGAGTAATTAAACTCTGTCTCTTTGTTAATATATAAATATATTAATCATCCATCCCAGGCTCCCTCCCGAGTATATATAATACTCGTTGCTTAGGAGGCCGCCGTCGTAGAGTGTCCCTTCGGACCACCTGACAGCTGGGTAGACCGAGGTGTCTGTTCGATTAGGGTAGGGACCCGGAAAGAGTGTCAATCCTTAATTAGGAAACACTTATTAATCTTAAAGTATTCATAGGCTGTTCATAGATCAGTCTTAATCAAATCACACCTTCATCACTTTGCGATTTGGCTCTGTAACGCTATAAGGCGCTACAACACCAGGCTCCCAGGCCCTCAGGCTCACAAGCTCCCAGACCCCCAGGTTCCCCAGGCTCCCAGGCTCCCAGGGCCCCAGGTCCTCAAGCTCCCAGGCCCCCAGGCACCCAGGTCCCCAGGCTCCCAAGCTCCCTGGTCTCCAGGCTCCCAGCCTCCCAGGCCCCCGGCTCCCAGGCTCCCAGGTCCCCAGGCTCCCAAGCTCCCAGGCCCCCAGGCTCCCAGGTCCCCTGGCTCCCAAGCTCCCAGGCCCCCAGGCTCCCAAGCTCCCAGGCCCCCAGGCTGTAACAACGCAAATGCCAATCTGAGCATCCCGGGTTACGCCTTTGCTGTGTTACAATGGTATCAAGACGGGACCGCACGACTTCCCTAACAAACTTCGGGTCGGCAGTTCCATTCTGACAACCGGTAAGTCGCAAATTGGCGATTTCATGGTGTAATGGATAAACCAGCGCACTGGCGCGAGGTGGGATGGCTCCTGTGCTCAAAATAATGGCTGAGGACGTTCATTGCTAAGTGGGGGGCAATGTAACGATGCAAATGCCAATCTGAGCATCCCGGGTTACACCTTTGCTGTGTTACACAGGCCCCCAGGCTCCCAAGCTCCCAGGCTCCCAGGTCCCTAGGCTCCCAGGCCCCCAGGCTTCCAGGCCCCCAGGCTCCCAGGCCCCCAGGCTCCCAGGCCCCCAGGCTCCCAGGTCCCCAGGCTCCCAGGCCCCCAGGCCCCCAGGCTCCCAGGTCCCCAGGCTCCCAGGCTCCCAGGCCCCCAGGCTCCCAAGCTCCCAGGCCCCCAGGCTCCCAAGCTCCCAGGCCCCCAGGTCCCCAGGCTCCCAGGCTCCCAGGCCCCCAGGCTCCCAAGCTCCCAGGCCCCCAGGCTCCCAAGCTCCCAGGCCCCCAGGCTCCCAAGCTCCCAGCCCTATGGCAGCCAAACGACGTGTTACGGCCCCCCCCTAGCAACTGGACTAGTTACTCCTGAGACGGGTTGCGGCCCAGTTGGTACCCCGTAGCGGCCCAGTAGTGGCCCAGTGGCGGGGCAGTACCTCCCACACGAGCTACTGCCCCGCCACTGGGCCTCTAAACAAAATCTAGCCTTTCACCAAGCCAGGAAACCAAAGTTCGAAAGGGTGGGCGGGTGGGAAAGAAAGACCGCCAAATCCAGATGTCCAGATGTCCAGATGTTGCGGGACGCTGGTGTATCCACTCCATACCGCAGCCATGCCTCGGTGACGAGCTTGCTGCCCGCCTGTCCGAACCAAGGGCGCCCCGGGGCCAGATGGAGCGGTTCGGGGATCATGGCCGCCACCACTAAGGCTGACGCCTGTGCTACCACTGCTGCAGTGGCCTCTGCAGCCACTGCGTCGGAGACCATCTCAAGTTGCTGCGGAGGCGCGGGGCCCGCACCTACACTCATCGAACGGGACAGGGGGGGGGGAAAACCGAACCATGCACCCCCGGAACAATCATCTGCCACTTCCTTATCCCCGAGGAGGGGGCCGATATCGCGGTGCACACCCCGTCTATCACCAGACGGGGAGGACAGCTCTAACCCGCAGCGTGTGGGGGCCCTCCAACTGGGCTAAACGTCAGCACGACGCCTCCTTATCCCCGAGGAGGGGGCCGATATCGCGGTGCACACCCCGTCTATCACCCGACGGGGAGGACAGCTCTAACCCGCAGCGTGTGGGGGCCCTCCAACTGGGCTAAACGTCAGCACGACGCCTCCTTATCCCCGAGGAGGGGGCCGATATCGCGGTGCACGCCCCGTCTATCACCCGACAGGGAGGGCAGCTCTAACCCGCAGCATGTGGGGGCCCTCCAACTGGGCTAAACGTCAGCACTACGCCTCCTTATCCCCGAGGAGGGGGCCGGTATCGCGGTGCACGCCCCGTCTATCGCCCAATGGGGAGGGCAGCTCGAACGCCGGCTCGCGGACAAGGCAGGTACGACCCAACACAGGGCAACGCGGGGTAGTCCCTCCCCAAAACACTGACAGGCGCCCTAAGCAAGGCACACCGCACTATAACTCGGCCTCTTCACGACATGCAAGCAAGGCCCAACGGGGACGGGGTGCACAAGCAGCCCCTTTTGGAACTCACATTGGGCAGCGATGTCCGCTTGTTGTTGGGCGCCGGCCGCCTTGATGGGTATGCCCCCAGGCCCCGGCCGCTCGGGTGGCGTTCCAGGGAGGGGGCAAGTGGCGGCCGGCGCCTCCGCGACCTACACTGAAGCCGGTGCCCCACGGGCGCCCGCCCGCAAGCGCGCCCGAGCCCTGTTGATGGCTGCCTGCTGCTGGTCCCTGGGCATGGCCTGGAGTTGTGGGCAGTTTCGAAAGCAGTGGCCCCGCTGGTTGCAGATTAGGCACGTGATGTCCTCGGGGCCCTCTTGGGAGCCCCCCCCGGGGGCCAACATGGCGGCGAAGGGCCGCTTGGAGCCAGACCGGTTGGCCGACTGAGTCTGTCCTGTAAGCGCCGCGCCCAGGTACGCTCGCTGCTCGGAGGAGAGAGAAGCGAGGCAGGCGACGAGGGAGGTCTTGTGCGGGTCCCCATCCTTTGCCAGGCGGATGACCTCCCTGTAGGGCAGCAGCTGTGACATGTCGTTGAGCTGCTTCTGGGTCTGCTGCGCCTCGGATGCTGTCTTGTAGTGCTGCACCACCTGCACGGCCAGCTGCGCCCGTGCTTCGGGGTCCTGCGTCCCGTCGAACTCCATTGCAGCCGCCTAGCGGCCGCAATGTTGTGGTTGATGACGCGGTTTGCATGACTGTTGAAAGCTGACTGGTCGGACGCCAGGCGCTGTCGTCCTGCCGCCTTGAACATCGATCCCCACTCCGGCACGGTGTCCAGGACGTCCTCCCGGTCTGCTGCGAGGCCGAGCATATCGCTGAAGGGTCCCAGCAAGCCAGGGGCAGCGGTCAGGTCGGCTGCCAACAGGCCTCCGGTGGTGGCTTGGCCCAGCGAGCGCTGGAGGGGTGCGTTGAAGGGGTGCGGCGGGGGGGGCGCATGCCGAACTACTATGATGCCAGCCTGGTGAGGGGCCTCGGGTCAAACGGCCGCTGGAGGGCGGAGTGCCGGCCAGGCGGCTGCGGCCGCCTGGGTAGGAGCTGCTCCCTGGGCGGGCTGCGTCTCTAGGTTGCCGATGATCGCCCGCGCCAGCTGGTTGTACCCACTGTTGTCGACTAATGTTTCAAGGTCAGATCCCGCCGGAACATGAGCCCCCTGAGCTCCGTCCTCCGCGGTGCCCTGGATGCGACCGAGCTGACCCGGCCCACCCGAGCCACCCGGTCCCGCGTTGTCCAACGTGGGGAGCTCACCTGTGTCCTCCTCGCCCACATTTGGGAGGGGGTGCCAGCCTTGAAGCGGCACGCCGGAGACGAGCTGAAGTTTACACTCCTGGATCGCGAGCCGAGCGGCATCACAAGTCTTCAGGTCCGGGACGGTCGGGTTGGCTCGAAGGAGCCTCGAACACTGAGCCTCATACTTGCGCCTAATGGACTCGATCTTGGCTGTGTGGGCCTCTTTGGCTGATTTCGAGGCCCGCGCGGGCAGATGCTGCTCCTGTTGGCTGAGGTCTGTCGCCAACGCCTCGTCGATGGCCAGGAGCTGATCTTCTACCCGTTGCAACAAGTCCAGTTCATCCGATGAAAGCGGTGGGAAGGAGACCAGCTCTCGGTCGCAGTCGGCGGTCGTGCGCAAATGGTCAAAGGGCGGCATGTCTACAGCAACCAACACCGGAAGAACTGACGAAATGAGCTGCGGATGATAAGACCGATATGACCGAAATGAGTTGAAGATTACAAGAGAAAAAGAAAGACCGCCAAATCCACACCGCTGATCAATGGACAATAACAACGGCAGCTAGCAGCTGTTCTGGTAAAGAGAGCTCGTATCAACCAGCAGCCGAGTCCGAGATCACCCGGAAGATAATTAGACAAGACGAAACACCGCCGAGCAAACAGCAGTTCAAAATAACAACCAACCGCACCGTACAATGCCGCTCTGACGCCCCTCTTCAAACCACATTTTCGGCTACGCCTAAAATAAGATGTTTCGGTGCTCCTTAGTGCCGCTAGTGGAAACACCGTCACACTAGCACTACACTAAGTCCACACTAGCACATAGTGTACCGAAGATAGTGTTCGGACAAGTGGAAACACCCTGTTACAGGGTATTTCCACTAGGCCGCACACTAACTTTCCCACATTATTTTTCAAGTGGACTTAGTGTGTGGCTATTGAACAGGTGTTTCCACTAAGCGCCCCGGAACCATACGACGGGTTGCTATTAAGGCACCAAACCATTGTTATAGTAAGAGTGGGTGTAATTCAATGCGCAAGTCATTACAGTTTGGTCGGCTAATTGCTGGAATGTGGGCAATTCGACCGGTCCTGCTCGGAATTCCACTGGTCAACGGGCTATTTGCGGCTGTGGATAAAGGAAAATAGAAAAGTCAACGTAGGGCCTTGAGGAAGGAAAATGGCTGACTATGAATTTTCCCGCTGGAAGTTAATGTCCAGTTTGAAAGTTATCAGCAGTTCTGAGGCCCTGATAACTAGTATGCCACTAATGCGGACTTAGTGTCCGAGGCGTTTCCACTGGTAAAGGGGCTCCGGACTCCGGAGCCCCTTTACGCGATTATTTTAAAGAACTTTTACTTTCTATTAATGTATTTAACTAGTTTCTTATCGCTTGCATGATTTGCTGAGCCAGGTGTGAGATTTTTTGAACTTAATGTTAGTGTGCGGCCAAGTGGAAATACCCTGTTAGTCTATGTTGCTACATCGTTTCCTATTAGGCTTCCGCCGTGTTAGCATCGCATTGACGAAAGGAAGTTAGGTAGTAGGCTTCGCAGCAGCAGAGAGGTGACTTGATACCTCATGGCATGCGTTTCTTCGGAATGGCTACACGACTACCACAATTTGATACCATTCATTGCTGCTCACGTATTTCGTTCGTTTCTAGACTGTGTAATGAATTGAGCCGTGCTTCTCCCTGCAGGTGCTGGCTGTACGAAACTCATTGCTACCGCTCAACTCTTAGGTAAAAAATGATTATTCCTTTATTTCTAACTCTAAAAAGGTAACCTCTTAGGTAAAAAATGATACTGCCGTACAGTCTCTATAGGGAAGAAGGCCAATGATGCCGTACAGTCTCTATAGGGAAGAAGGCCATTGCTTAAACGTCATCGCGTGATCCGTACTCACTACTAACTTATTGTGGGGAAGGCCATTGCATCCGCGACCACACTCCCGCGGTACCCAAACCCTTCAAAGACAACTCCGATCAGCCATTTGGCTGTTAGTGGGAGGGCGGGTGGGCCGCTCGCACGGCAATCGAGTAGAGAGTACGAAATAACATAATGCAGTCATCGTCAACAGAAAACGTAAGCCTCCAGCCTCACGCCGACTCTCTTACCTACCATTCATATTTTCTACCTCGTTCACAAGACTCCGCTGCGTTGCCTCTAGTTCGGCTCGTGCCACAGGTAACTTCGCTCGTCGCTACTTTGCCATTCACCTTCGCCTCACCCAGCCTCTGCTTCTCCACAGAAGCGGCGACCTCCTTCACCGTTGTTACACCTTGTCTATGCGACTCCTCATCATCCGACTGGGTCTTCTGCCTACCCGGTGCATGCCCCCTCTCTCTGCGCATCCGTTTCTCCGGCCCTCTCTTACGGTTGCCTACCTTACTGCAGGACTCGCCCCTTGCCTGTCCTGTGCCGGGTAGGCTTTCCTTGCCTCCCCCGGCCCTACTTGGGGCGCCCCTCCTTGGCTCGTCAACTACCTTATTATCGTCCGTTCCTGCCCCTCGGGGGCCCAACCTCTCCACCCTTTCTATGAGCCCGCTGCCCGCTCTGGACTTATCTCACGCCCACGGCCTCTCTGATGCTGCCCCCCCGGTAGGCTTGCCCCCCACGCCTGGGTCCTGTCTCTTCTTTCCGTCGCGCTTACCTCTCCTACCTTCTTCTGCCCTCCAGGCACTGCCGGAGCCTACTCTGCCCCAAATCTTGGCCGCACGCGTCCGCCCCACTTCCATACCCTCTGCCGTACTGGACCCACCTTCCAGCCGTCAGCTTTATACCGCTGCCCTCGCAAAGGCCGCCACCATCTGTGACAACTCGCTGGCTCGTGAAACCATTGCCCGCCAGGAAGCTGCCGGTCGGGACCTCTCTGCCTGGCTGGCCACCCTGCCCCATGGCCGTACCCTGCTATCCTGCACTGATGACGACCTACTCGTCTACCTGGGGGCGCACTGGCTCCCCAACCGCCGTGTGGACGACCCGAGCCCCAACACCGTCAACAATCATCTGGGTCTACTCTCCGGACTGTTTAACCGCTTGGGCCATGGCAGCACTTATGACCATGAAACCGGCATCGGCAACCCCTGCTGCTCCAGCGCCTTGTCCTCCTACAAGACTGGCTATAGTCGCCTCGCCGCCGACCGTGGCTATGAGGAGCAAGCCGCCGTACCACTCAGCCCTAGCGACTTCACCACCCTCATGGACCACCTCTGGTCCGGATTCCAGGCTTCCACCACCTCCCTGACCCGGCTGCTGTTACTACGCGACCTGTTGTGCTGCCAATTCATGTGGCACACCAGCTACCGCGGCCACGACACCGGCAAACTGCGGCTACGTGACTTCCGTGACCCGCGTGGTGGGGGTCCTTTCCGTGGGTTTCCCCTACCTTTGCCGGACCCGTTTGGTGCCCCTCGCTTTCCATACGTGTCGAACAACTCGGGACCAAAACATCCAAGGGGCGTCGAGCCCCCCCTTTGGAACTGCGCCCCGACCCTTCTCCGGGACATTGCTTCATCCGCACCCTCGCCCTCTATTGGCAGCTGTGCCATGCCCCCGACGCCCCCCCAGGGTCTGCAATCTCCGACTACCTCTTCCATCCCACTGACCGGGGTCACCAACGCTTCATGGAGCGTCCGTTTTCCAGCAGCGCGTTAGCCATGCGAGTGGGCAAACACCTGGAGGAGGCTGGTGTCTACATCGGGCAAACTCCTCATGGGTTTCGTCGTGGTACTATCCAGGCCACGCAGGCCGCTGGCGCTTCCCGTGCGGAGCTCCACACATTCTCCCAAATCTGCAGCGCTCAAGTCCTGAAGCGTTATACCGACGCCTCTCGGCCCACTCGTGTCCCTCGCGGCTCCGGTCCCAAATCCTAGCTTCCGCCTCCTGCTGGTGCTGCCCCTCTTGGCCCTGGCGCTCACATCGTGGCTCGTCCTCCTCCCCTCTCCCCACCACATCGACGGGCGGGTGGGCGGGTTCTGACGTGCACTTGCTTGCACGGTTGACTGGCGAACTTGCGTTGTCTGGATTCAGCACTTTGTTCCCAGCTAATCTTTGTAACGCACTACCGTATCAGTCACTGTCCTCTGGCCAATTCTGGTCTGCTCATCCCGCGCCGCACTTGCCGTACTGCACTACAGGACGAGCACTTAATCAACATGCATTGCTTAAACGTCATCGCGTGATCCATACTCACTACTAACTTATTGTGGGGAAGGCCATTGCGTCTGCGACCACACTCCCACGGTACCCGAACCCTTCAAAGACAACTCCGATCAGCCCCAAAACACACCGCGGAGCGGTCTCTCCCCCCCACACATACTTCCCAGGTGTTGACCCTAGGTCCTCCCATCTCCCAGCTCTTCCGTCCCTTGCCTGTATGTGCTATGGTAGAGCTCTACCATAGCACATACACCGCCTGCACTCGGTATCGGGGCGTCATAGGGCCCCTTTTTGTGGCGTTGGGCACTTGTGGTCCTGGGATGAAGAGCTCCCTGTGGGCCAGGGTCATCTGCGCTCTGATGGGCAGCGTCCTTAGGATAGCCACCCATGCGCGTGGCCAGACCGGGAGGATCAGTACACAATCGGGCCGCTCCTCCGCCACCTTGCGCAGCATTCTTGCCACGGCACTGAACGGGGGGTTAATGTACAGCAGGGGCCGAACAGTTTTCCCTCCTTCCAGGCGTCCCCACCCCGGAGAACCCCAATCCTGGGCGAAAGCGTCTACTCCTTTGACTCCTGGGCACCAGTTGGCCGCAAAGAAACTACCTGGCACCTTCATGGTGTGTGCGTCCACGAAAACGTCCAGAGACGGGCTGCGGCCGTGAACGCAGGGGTGCTCCCACAGCTTTGCATAGACGGTCGGGTTCAGCATCCACTGTGATCCATCTTCGTATTTGCTGAGCGCGTCTGCCTGCTGTTGCTGCTCCCGGCTGCGTGGGTACCACACCACTGAAATGTCTGTGTCCATATCGGTGCAGAGGCGATGGATCTCCACCACTATGGGCAGGCAAGCGGCGTTGCCTTTCATTCCAACCATGCAGAATTCCGCCGGTTGGCTGTCCGTCTGGTATTGCACTGTCCGGCCGTACAACAGGTTCGGTGCCTGCTCTCACAACCAGTGCAAGCTGTACAGCAGCGCCCGCAGTTCTCTTTCTGTGCTGCTAAAGTCATTCCACTGCTGTAGCAAGCTACATTTCCCTTAGAATATTTTAACGACTACTTTTAACAATAACTGTTAATTTGTTAAACGATCTGACTCAAGTTTCGTACATGTTCCGAGTTTCGTCACATGTCGTGAACTGGGCAGCTGTTCGTAAGCGAATCTAACGGGCTGGGGCCCCGGGCCCCACCAACATTATCCTAGTACGGCAAGGTCCGTAGTAGAGATTATCCGGCAGGTAGGCCGAGATATAAA